GAACAAGAGGGATGAGCCTGGATACACGGTTACAGTTCCACAAGCGGAGGTACCCAGCAGGCACCCAGCAAGCTGCTCAGGTCAGAATTTAACTGTTACTTTCACAGACAGCAATCGCAGGGCATGCTCAAAATTCTCAGGTGGATGGAAATAGCTCTGCCTCAATACATCAAAAAAGCACAGGTGTCCAAAGTCACCATCTCTCAAATTATTGCTTACTCAACTACATAAACAGCAGAATACGGATGACGGCAGGGATCTATATGGATTGGGTAAGTCACTTCCGATACCATGACTCCACACTAATGACTACAATGATCTTAAAGACAAAGCTAAGTACAATACACGCTAAAAAAAAATTCCTGTAAAAGCAAATGCGTAGAAAATAAACTGCCATCAAGTATAAGGAAAGCACATCGGCACCAGGCTGCAAAGGGACTGTTGCGCAAGCGTCGGAGGACAGAAACAGGATTCGCAGATCCAGTGGCTCTGGTGCAACAGCTTTCCAAACCGCACTCCCATTTTACGCGTCTATCAGAGTCCCCAGAAGCACACAGATACTTCACTGTCTGGAATTTGATGTATGCATACATGCAGTACGTGTATACTAAAGATTAGCCAGCGTATACACGTCTGTTACCAACACGCACACCTACTGAGCAATGCAAGAGGGAGCGAGTACAGAAAGACAGACAGAGGTAATTTCATAATATTTTAGCATTGCTCTTTTGGAGCTCAATGTTATTGCCGTGGGCTATTACGTCAAACAATATAGAACAAGCTTAACAGTATACAACAGATACACAGTAATTCCACAACTCAGCAGTACCCACTACTCCATTTGGCAAAATATTTATTTATAATAAATCCGTTCAAAAGCAGTTGGTCACAGATAATTCATTTTACATTTTTAGGCTCTAAGAATGCTTTTGGTAGAAGTAAATAAACTGTCTCTTTTTACACAGTGTACAAAAAGAAAGAGACATTGAAATGACAGTTAACAATAAAACACATGAAAACAGGAAGAATCGGTAAGACAAAGGCAAAAGCAATAGGAATCTGTCTGCGCACCGGCAATGCTGCCATGATTTTTACCCGTACAAATCCTCAGGCCCACTTAGTTATTATCCCCAGCATAGCTCTTAACTGCAGGTTTATGCTCCAGGAGAGGAATCTGATGCGATGTAGCAGCTCCAGTCACTCTTTCACAGTACTGCATGTCAACACTGGGAATGGTTTCTGATATGATTTAGACTGCACACAGTACTTTAATAGAAAAAAGTTAATTACTCCCACTCCGTAGTTCCTGGTGGCTTTGATGTCAAGTCATACATCACGCGAGAAATGCCGGGAATCTTCTTAATCTCCGCCACCATTTTTAACACAACCTATTGTGAAGAAAAAAAAAAAAAAGAAAATCAGAAGCAAGCACACAAAACAGATCTGATGAAAAGCTCAAAAAGAGGAAAACTTTCCTCACACTAATTCTAATACACAAGAGAGAAAGAGCCTATAGCTATTAGCTTATTACCACCAAATTAAGAAATAAAATCAACTGAAACAAAACCTCTAGCTTCACGATATCTGCAGTTGCATTTGGAACCTGCTCATTTTTGGCACTGATAATAAACCAGGGAGCTGATCGCAATACACTTCCCTCAAGGCAGCAGTTCTTCAGCTTCAAAACTATTTCTTGAAAGCCTAGCAGGAACATACGCTGTTATGAGTTACTATCAATCTTTTTCAGACTTTTCTCAGACCATCATCTCCAGCTGAACCACCATCGAACAAAAAGGAACAGCCTGCCTGAAACCCCTTTCAAAACAAAAAAAAGGGAGCTCTAAAGGTTAAAAAAAAAAAAAAAACAGATGGAAAGAGGCATCGAAAGGAAAGTTTCCACTGAGTTACTCTCCAGAGTTCACAATCAATTCATGTTAGCAAAAGTATTCTGGATGAGAATTTGCTGATCCTTAGAAGTTAGCTTCCTTAAAAGTCCCACAGTTCACAACAGTGCCACTTACATGACATGCTGTTTTATACTGCCAACAAACTAATGCATTGCTCTCCATGGAAAAAAAACACAGAAAATTTTTAATCAAATATGATTATTTTCCCCATAAATACAGGTATTCTCCATAACCTCTACTGTTTTGTTACCACATTATTACCTAGCTTTAAAGCGATCATTTTACATTTTGAAAAATGTGGGGTTTTTTGTTTGAGTGTGGTTTTTGTGGTGTTTGGTTGTTTTGTTCGTTTGTTTTTAAACACAAACTTCCAAGTCAAATGAATCCTTGTTTTATATAATGGAAAAGTTCACATGGTAACTTAACCTTGAATTTTTTCTTTTTAAATCGATAAGCTGCCTTAATGTAGAAGACTCCAGTTACATACAATTACTAAACAATACCCATATGCTTTTAAAATCTGCTTAAAAAAAAAGTCAATCCCGTTCTTCATCTGCATTCCTGGAGAGACAAAGAAAGTACTTGAAACTGATAAAGTTTCCCAGAAAAATATGCCTGAACTTGATTCCTAAATCCTTTTGGTGACCTAAATAAAACACACCACACTGAGATGCCAAACAGCAGGTTCCAGTAAAATCAGAACTGGCAATCAGGGGCAAATCTGTAAGTTAGGACATTTCCAACTACTAATGCAAAAAATTAATTTCAAAATCCGAGGAATGCTTGGGGTATTCTTTTTTAATTGATGGTATTTTGGCTCAACTCTGCTGGAAAGCCTTTAAGTTTGTCATATCCATCTGCTAGCTTCTCATTTTGTTATAGTTTTTTTTTTCCCAAAACACCACCATATTCTTCCTAACGAATACTATGAAAGAGACAAAAAATTGCAATAAAATCAATGTCAAGGTAAGCAATCAAAAGAGAGGGAAGAAGATCAAAATGAGTCAACTACAATACTAGCTCAAGTTGAAAAGAAACTTGAAAACCCATATTACCTCTTCTGGAACCTCATTACCAGGAGTTGCTGCAATACCAGTCATAAAATCACTTGTAATAAAAGTTCGAATAACCACAGATCTTTGACAGGAAGGTTGCTTCTGTAGGGGGTCCCGATCAAAATGTAACGGTGTCAGTATTATTGGCATCTGGCTAATTTTTCCGGCATAACCTTCAGAAAATAATAGTACAACATACATTAGTTTGGTTTAAAGACACAAGCGTGATAGAAGTTTTACAGAATTGCCCACCTGTACTTCAAACTATATACTAGAAGCTACATTTACATCTTCTGAGATCTTTTACCTACTGCTACCACACCCCAGATCACCCCACTCGGTGAATACACTAAAACTACTCAAATTGCCACTTGAAATCATCTCCAGCATTTGCAGGCACGCAGAACAAAACCAGATAATCTCCGTTATCCCTGGAATTTGCTGTGAATGCAATTTAAGATCTACTTTCCTTCTCATATAACATAACCATGGAGTTTTATCCATCCCCATATCAAGCCCAGTAAAAACCTGTTCACAAGTATCTGTGACATATTGAAGAGAAAGTTCTCAGGTATCCCTGTTGCCCGTGGTTGACGGGTAACTGCAGACAATCATCTCTCACTTGTGTGGGTTTTTTTTTTTGGTTGGTTGGTTTTTTGGTTTTGTTTTTTTGTTGTTTGTTTGTTTGGGGGGGGGGTTGTGTGTGTGTTTTTGGTTTTGTTTTTGTTGGTTTTTTTTGTTGTTGGTTTTTTTTTGTTTTTTTTTTTTTTTTTTTTTTTTTTAATATGTCCTTCCGAAAGCCAATACACAGATCCCTAATTTCACTGTTTAAATGATCTAAAAGTTTGAGACACAGGTGCGTGGCAGCCTGCAAAGCCCGTCTAACACTGATGCAGGCCCTCACTCTCTGCTTGCACTGGCTTGAGCTGTTGGTACAAAAAGTCTTTTTCACTAAATGGTAACTCAAGTCTTATTTCTGGGAGCGATTCGTTCACACAAAGCCAAGCATCGCCAAAAGTTAGCAAGACATCTACAGGTTTACAAACACGATTGACAGTGTTATCCTCAGCATTTTGAGGCTATTTTTGGACAAATTATGTTAAGACAGTCTTGCAAACAGAGTATGTATTCTCAAAAAGAGACATCCTTTGTAACTAGATATATACAAAATATAGGCAAGTCTGATGAACTGCTTCCTACACATATTGCATCTTCAAATGTAATTAAGTAAAAAAAATTTACTGAATTTCAGAACTACTGTATTTCCAGACTCTGCCTGCGTACCATATCACAGGGTGTTGAATGCTCCCTGGATGTTAACGGTTTGAAGTATTAGCATCTGCTAGCCTGACGCGATTAGGTTTACAAATACAGCTTTTACTTTAAGAAATATGAAACCACCACAGGTGAGCATCATCACTACTAGAAACTTAGTATTTGGGCTCCCTTCTTTCCACAAAACCCCCACGATTTAGAAACTATGTCAAATTTCTTTACACAGTTTATTTACTTCAGGTAAATACTGATGACTGAGATCAAAGAGAAGTAATTTGATCGACTTTCAGTTGGCTAACAGTACTTTCTGCAGAAGCTTGCACTGCAGTGAAGCATCACATCTGAGTTTTGTGATGTGTCAGCGGCAAGCCCCAATCCCCAAAAATCCCCTAAAATTAATTCTGCTAGCAGAAATCTAAAGGACAGGAATTGCTACCCTATCAGCTTCTACAACTTTCAGAAAAGGCTCTTGCCTGTCAACTCCATTAATTTAACTTTTTTGGAGATACTCAAGAAGCTTGTAGATTTTGACAGTACCACTGCAACTATACCCAATTAGGTTTGCAGAGATCTCGAAACAAGAGTCTAATCCATGAGATAAGGCGAAGTACCTACCAGACTCCCTGAGAATATTGTGAGCCTCAAAATCAGCTTGACGTAAAGTGCTGAGGACTCCTGTTGTCAGGAAAGTGGGGGTGACATCTGTAGGAGGTTCTTTGACCGGTGGACCGAACACATACACAACTCTGGAAAACAAACAGGATGGCAGAAAAACACATTTTGTGTACATTGAATAAACCAGATTGCCTAAAGACTGCATCTTTCATACCGCAGTGAGAAAATAAAATTAGGAAAAAAAGCATTTGATTTTGCTCCTTAGCTACTAACTAGAGCTTAATACAACTTCATGCATATACTCTATAAACATGACATGCGTACTAGCTTTGGAAGTCAGATGTATTAATTTATTTTGGCTTGCTACAGACTAGCAATAGCCCCAGTATTACTTATTCAAGAGAATAATCCTTTGAAAAAAAACAGAAATACTAACTCAGTGGTATCACAAAGGGTTTTTTTCAATTTTACTTTGACGTCAGTAAAAGTTAAGATTATTCTAAGAAAGCTACTTAATAAGGGTTTACGATTTCTACCTTCTCTCCTAGTGGGAAATCCTCAAAAAATACCATTAAATAGTAAAGCTTACTGTTAATGAATAGTTGTGTTTTCAGCACAGGGCACTAACACTGCAATTTATAAGTCTACATAACTATACCTGTAATAAAATATCTTGTGAATTCAAACCAGTCACATCAGCTTTGTCTACCTCATTCATTGTGTCTCAAATGTTGCAGAACAAAAAGTAAAGTACAATATTGTCTGACTGGCCTCATACAAGGATTTACTATGACATATTCACACAAGTTATTTGAGGTTGTAGATACAAACCAAGAATACTTGTCTAAAATCCAAAGCAGAAAAATACGCAAGCTTTACATTCTGTATTTTTGTTTGTAATAGAAAGTCTGCAAGCATAGCTGGGCAGAAGACCAACTATTTCAGTGCACTCCTCAAACTGCCAGCTTCAGTGTCCCTATAAACAGCAATGAAAGATTCTGAAAACATACCCTGGTACAGCAGAACTCCCAGAGATGTGGGATATTCAGGAGGGCAGTATTAAATCCAAAAGAGCTTAAAGACGACAGCAATGCTGTAAATCCAGCACATACTTCGAAATTGCACACGCAATGCTGATTTTATGCCTTCTTTTGTTCCCTCTGCATTTAGTGTTTAAAGAAGTATCTTGCAATTCAAGATCTTGCCTTTAAGAACAATACCTCTTTCAGTAGGTGCCGCTTATGTGACAAAATTAAGTTTTGCTATAAGCAATTATATGCAGTTTCATCATAAAGCCTATGGCCACGCAAGGAGGATATATATTCTCCAGAAATTATTTACTATCTACGCAACTTCAGCTGCTAGAAAAGTTACGGAATCAAGCAGCTAGAAAATGCATATTCACAAGAGAGCTCAATTAAGATTAAACTGCCCAGCATTGGAGCTTTCCTACATGCCATTAGAGCTGACAGTCCCACATAAATTCCCTTTTGACACAAAGCAAAAAAAAAAAAAAGAAACAAAATACCGCATGACAGCACAACTCATCAGCAGGCTTGGAATCTTTCAGAAAAGATTTTGCGTAAGTTACGTTGGATGCTGTCTAATCAAGTGCTTAAAAAAATTAGGAGATAGGCTATCAATTTCTTTTTCACGCTAGCAATTCCAGAAATAAACCTATGTTCTGATTTATTGTGTATTTTTAACCTCTGTATGATACACCTCTCCAACACACACAAAAAATTATACCATAGATTAAATAGGAGAACGCTTGTGCATTCTAAACTTCCGTATATTAAGTAGATTATTAGAAATAAAGAAAATTCAAAATACTTACCTGTTTATGTTGTGGCACATGCGTGGTATGAGCCTGGCAAGAAACATAAGAGACTCCCAGTGTGGGGCATCTTTACTAGAGATCCCACAAACATAGCTATATGAACGACAGTCACCCTATAAATTAAAAAAAAAAAAGCAAAACCACAATAGTTGAATGTGAACTTTGCTGCCAAAATAGCTCACAACACTTTCCCATTCATCCTGTAGGTTACAGGACTATATTTTGTGCCAACGTTTAGCAGACACTAAGCTGTTGAAATCAGTATGCTGAGAGGTACCAAACAAACAAGAAAACAGAGTAAGATGACAAACCTCTCATAAGCTAACAAGGGCGAATAAAAGATAAGATTTAGAATGGAAAGATTCATATAAGGTGACCGAGCATAGGGACTGATTGTGTATTGGCGTTTTCATGACACGATGTGAGGAAGGCTTGTGAGAAAGTATAGAAATCTACTGCTGACACTGCTGTTTAAAACAGTAAAAGTCGACTGCGAAGAGTTACAGAAGTGATGCACAAGATTAAGCAGCTGATATTAAACAAGATATGTAATTCAATACTGATAGTGCAAAGAAAGGTACTTTACAGCTATGACTACTCAGTAAAGAAATCTTCCGAGTTATTGCATGCAATGCCATGACAATGCCAACTCAGCATTTGTATTTGGTTTGTATTTCTGTCGCCAAAGGACAGTCCACAAAAATGCGCATAGCATTAGCAAAGGAGCGAAAGGAAAGAAAACACTACGACACTGCACAGATTCAAGTGTTCCCAGATCCTGAATAGCCTGCACGGCTCTGGTTCCTTCCCTCTCAAGGATAATGATATAGTACAATTTGGAAAAGTACAGGAAAGGGCAACAAGCATGTTCAAATGTAGGAAGCAGGGTTTCTTGACAAACTTAAGTGTAGGATTCCTGACCCTTAAAGGGGGCAACAGGATTACAGCAGAGCTCTACAGGATGATGAATGTCATGGACAAACTGCCTATAAATGACCAGCATTATCCAACCTTAATGATATCCTCAAATACAACACCTGGCATTTACTCAAGTGTCTATTCAGGTATCTTGACACCTTTGCACTACACCAGCACCGACAAATGACAATAACATAGGTATCACAGTCACTTGAAGTTTATGTTCTTGAGTCAAGCCCTTTATTTTCAATCTAAAAGCAGCAATTATTATGCTCCACTGCAGCCTGCCACACTGCTAGGAAGCATCTTTCAGAACACCCCTGGAATGAATCCACTTACCTGCACTCCCACAGTTTTGATTGGTAACAAGAAGGCATTCAGTGAATGTAGGCTTGTAATCTGCATCAGCTTCTCCTGGTCTTCTTCAGTTGTACACGCTTTGACTCTCTGCAGCAAAGTATGTGGCTGTGCAATGACACAGAAAAATAAATTTTAATTAATTAAAGCCCCCAAGCACTCAAACAGAACTTATACCATGCAAATAAAATTATTATTTAAGTAGCTGTTTGCTTAAATTTAGTCCACATTTACCCCTTGGAACTATTTAAAAAATACCTTTCATTTAACAACTCAATTGCAGCAAAAGCAGTTTTATTTGATTGGACTGCATGTAGTTTAAGCTGAAACTCTCCAAGGCCATAGGTGAAGCTCTTTTCCTATGCTCATTCTCTTTTTTCACAAAGCTATACTTTTCATTTTTGTTGTTTACATCAGATACAGAACAAAGCAATATCCTGTTATGCTACGCTACAATTCTCAATTTTCAAGGAAATACTCCCTTCAGTGTTTTGGAAGTAATTTTGAACTTAGGACAGAGCAGATCTCTGCTAACAACTTTCCAGCCCCCTGCACTTTAGGTCAAGTGAGCTTACAGAAATCATGAAGGTCATAACAGAGACTGAAAACTTAAACATTATCAATTAAAAACTTCAGGTTTCTGTTCAGGACATCTGGCAAGCACTAGTGCCTCACTCCTGTGCTTTCATTTAGACATTCAGTGATTGTTAGGGCATGCAAATCTAGAAAGTTACAATTATTTCAGGGAGGGAAAAATCTCCAGAAATCCTCGTCTGCACAAAATTTAGCTAAAACAAAATTTATTTACTGTTTGAAAGGTATATAAACTTCCATTTTCCAGAAATTGTTTAACACTTGCACCAGTCATGATGCAAAACATTTTACTGCACTGTACTGAATGGCTTCAAGTCAGTTGTACTGGAATGCATTACTCCTTAAAGAGCACAAGTAAGTAGTTCTAAACTTCTAGCAGCTCAAACTTCATTGCAGGCCACTACAGAATGATCATACTACTTTTATGCATATTAGAATTCAGCAGTTTTGTTACCTTCTTAACACTTGCAGAAAAATCTGCAACTATTTTCAAAATGTTGTTTGTTTCAGGGAAGTCTTTGCACACATAAGGCTCTTCAGCACATATCACTCTGATTGCTAGACCGGGACCTGCAGTGCAAAGCGGAAAAGACATTAAATAACAGGAAAGCTGACTTTCATCTCAAAATGTGACAGCATCTGGAACAGCAGGTCAATCATTGAGTACAGCACGCTTTGCCATTGTACCTATACTTCAACTGTCTTAACACCCTACAAGACAAAAAATACACAATCACTTTATTCCAGAACAGTATTTCCATTCAGTACATTCAAGCATTATTTACCTACACCTTACACTGGCTGGTTGTTTAAAGCAGCTGTTAGTGGCGATGAAGTGCAGTGGATGGCAAGCCAAAGTGAACAGGAACCTCCTCCCTCCCTTTGCTAGGCGACTGGGATGAAAGAATTGGTTATAACATACAGTTGAGTCTCCATTGTTTTTGAAGACCTCGATAGCTATTTGACCTTTAGGTACTTAATACAAAAGCACGTGTAATTTGCTGGAAATGTCTGAAGACAGTTTCTTGCATTTCATGAGATGATGCTGCATTAGCACAACAGCCTATGCGCTCTGCCAGCGACTACTACACACCCTGCAGGACAATTTTAAAACATATGGAGAGAAAAAACATACACCACTTAAAAGGACGTGGACTTGGCTATATCACATAATTTCATGTTTTCTGGTGGAGAACTGTTGTCATGTGTTGTTATCCTCCTGTTGTTATTGATAACTGTTGTTATCCTCCATTTTCAAAACAGCAAACGCCCCTTAAAAAGGCAGGCAGATATAGGCCATTATTTCAAGCAAGATACATTTCACAGCTCAGGCAGCATTCAGCTGCACTTCACTGATAATTCTTGGTTTGGCATATACAACTAAAAAGAAACAAATATACCTAAAGGCAAACTCAATTATAAAACTTTTCCTTTAATCTCTATACATAATAAAGTTGCTCTCAAATGTTCTTTTCCTGAAAAAAGATGCTGCTCAAGTAAAAACTAAAAAACCCAGCAGTTTTTTCCTGTTTAGAGGTAAATTTTATCCTCCAACATAAATTTATTCTACAGATTAAGTATGTTCTAAACAATACTGATGTGATCTGTAGGCCTTCGCTAAGTAGCACAGACCAACTCTCATACCTGGGAAGGGATGCCTCGAAACCAGCTCTTCAGGAAGACCAAGTTCTCTCCCTAGCACTCGCACTTCATCTTTGTGAAAGTCTTTCAGCGGCTCTATTACTTTGCCCTCAAAAAAAGAAAAAGCAATTTACACTCCAGCTTATGTATTCAAACAAAAAGCCTCAAATGTTGAGGTTATGGCAGTCAAACTGGCCTGCATTTCACAGCATCGGCTGCCAAGACTTGCATAAACACTGGAAAGAAAAGTACATGTGAATGTGGGCTTTGTGGAAACAGTCGCCGGACAGAGGCTAAGACAAGGAAGTTCAAGTTTGTGCTAGAAGTATCAGTGGCTAAATCAGTGTCAATATAGCTGTAGGTCAAGTCTGCTCTGACTGTCTTCAGAAGTTCAGACCTTCCTTCTCTTCCCTAGATGTTCAAACCAATCTAAAAGCCTTGAAAATACTTTGTACAGTATTAGAAGTGTGGTCAGTAATGAATACCTTATCACCCATGCTTGGGCACTTACTAATAACCGAGCACCTTCCAAAGGGGTAAATATGTAATGTCTCACAAATTCTTTCTTATTTTATAACACAGTTAGAGAATCTACCATTCTAACGTCAGAAAAGGCAAAACAGGGCAGTCTCCTACTTTTGCTTCATAAGCTAATAGTTAAGAGCTTTGCACAAGAAAGGTATTCAAAAAGCTCTTCTGGACTTTGGACTAACAGACCAACTGGGAGTGCAATTAAAGGGCTTGGGCTGCTTATCTTCAGACAGTTCAGCCTCCTGTGTTCATATCATCTTCAACCTCCTGGTTGTCATCCATAGATGTCCATGTTGGGCCATTTCAGAAAGATATGTGGGTCCTCAAATTGCCAACTGGCAAACAGATTGTGTGCCACCAGCGTACCACTGGCAGACAGACCATCAGGTTACTAGTAACGTGATGCAGAAGCTGCATAAGAACAAAAAGAACTCATCCCTGGAGGCACCTGAAGGAACTTACCCTAGATTTGAACTCGTTTAAATGTAGTATTCTCACACTCTCTCAAGAGAGGAGAATACTAAGCTTGCAGTGCTAAATGTTACTAGATGTTCAAGAGAAGAATAATTTTGGCCCTCTCTCTCAACAGGAGCCAATTATCTTTTCACTAAAGCACTGCCACTGCTCTTGCCTGAATCCATGATGTGCCAGATCTGGACTATCAGTACCTAAAGGTTACCCATTCCCTAGCATTCAGACTAAGATGCAACAGAAGGAGCAAGTGACCCATTACATCATGAATTCCAGCTGAACCACAATAGAGTTGTCTGAGAAGTCTTAAACTACTCTCCTGCTAAAGGCATTTGGTATCGCTCTGCTTCCTTGCTAGGATGCAGGTTTGTTTTGAGTGTTAAAATGTAAAAGAGCAAGGACACAGCTTGCAGTTGAGAACACCACTGTTCACACTGAATGAATCCACGTTCAACCTGTTGACATCTTGCTCAGTAGGCAATGCTGGACAATACTCAAACAGTTTTGACTACTTTGGGAATGTAGCTGCTAGAAAGAAGTGTAATAAATGGAAACATTACAATAGAATCTAAAGGGCCTCGTCAGAATAGGGTCCCATCAACACGGGACAGTTATACCAGCAAAACAGAGAAGTTGCTCATTTTTGATACTCAGCTTCATATCTGTGCAAACCAGAAGGATACACCACTGTCCTCATTTTCATTTACCTCTTCTCTTAACTTTCGAATCAGCTCCGTGTCATTATGATGAGTTTTGATGACTTCAGCTTTGCCACTAGCAACAAGGGAAGCACTTTCAATGAGATCAGGTCTGAGGGTACCCTGAGCAAGAAAAACTTCTTCAGGTTTCAGATTCATTTCTCCAATAACTTCATTGGCAATCTATAAGATGGAAAGAAAAAAGAAAAGCGTTCCGATCCACTTTTTGGTTGTCAAAGGCCTAAAGGAAGACAATGGATAGCCTGACAAACACTACTGAGCTGCAAAAGCACAAACAGGAAGACTAATTATGTCACTAGCCTACTGCTGAAATAGCCCTATAACCCCATATTTTGTTGAACAAAAAATGGAAAAAAATATCTTCAGACTACAGGAACATCACTGCCTGTTAAATGTTGTATTTTCCCTGCAGCACCAACACTGATTGCTGACAGATGGAAAATGGCTCATCTTCAGCAAAGCAACGGAAGCATGCCCCAATTCGCATTACCCATCAATTAGGTGAAAAAACATTGCATGGAAGCTTATGCAACAGAAATGAATGACCAACCACCATACTATATCTAAATGCGATGGTGGATCTCGTACAATGCTTGTGAAACATGTTATGACCATTGGTTGACTGCCAAAAGTTTCAGGCTTAGGGTAACGTCCCAATGGTTTCTTAGGTCATCCACAACTGATGAGACCACCGACGCCACCAACTGCACAGTGCTTTAGAATGAAACAGTCTGACATAGAAGATGTTATTTAGAAATAATTATCATTAAAAAAAACCCCAAACCCTAACTAACAAATATTTATAATCATTACCTTAACAAAGGTGTCACCAATAATTTTTCTCTTTTCTTCAGGACTTGTAGTCATATTTAAGGTCTTGCTAATTCTTTTACGTGGAGTTCTGTCCTCATCCGAGATGGGCAGAGTTGTTGTACCATTATAGAATGAATGAGCTGCATTCACCACTGCATGAAAGTACAGGAATTTTTTGGCAAAGCCAGTAAAGTTTTTTATGCAAGGTTGCAAAAAAATAAGTTTCATTCTATTGCTTTAAAAAAAGAAAATAAAAATAATTCCAGTCCTTTGACTATTAAATAGGGCTGTTCAATACCTCAAGAATTAATTATAACAAGAGCATTTTATTTCTTATTAACCTACTCTAGAAGTCAATTTTTTTCGTATTATGAAACCAGGCAACCATGTGAAATTTCAGTTCTTGCTTTCCCTCTTAGATTATTATAACATTGCACAGGCAGTGGAGACAGGGACAGG